AACGAACTACAACATGTTAACGCCAAACATTCGGTAGAATTTATAGAATATTGTAATATATATATATATATATATATATATATATATATATATATATATATATATATATATATGCCATATACAATTCTATTTTATTATTCAGTGCTTTTGAGGTTGTTATTAAAAACTGCTCTAGGGCAATCAATCCTCGTTTATAGTTCTTTTCCGTTTCGGGTTGGACTTTTGTACACCTGACTGACATCAATTTCTGTCTCCAAGTCTTTCGATCATTTGCGTCCAACTCCCTGAGATTTAGTGCCTTCAGGCCTTCTTGATATAATTGCATCCAAGACTTCTTTGGTAGGGTACCAGTCACCTGATGATTCGTGACAGATTATTGTCCCATCTTCGCTTCGCTTGACATGACCGAACCAACGTAGACGATGACGTTGACATGTATCTTTTAAGGTGCACAATCTTGCACGACTCTATGTTATGGATATGCTCTCTCAGATCAACACGTTGCTTCCCTCGAATCATTTTCATATCTGTTGGGTAAAGTTGCTGCTAGAGTTTTGTGGTCATTTGCCACGTTCAGACCGACTTTCAATTCTATTGTACGGTGTAAGTTATCATATACTACATGGATTATAATGACTGACTTTCTTTTCTATTGTACGGTGTAAGTTATCAACATATACATAAATTATAATGAATATATATATGTGTATGATTATTATATAAGATTATTAAAATTAGGCAAGGTCTTAGGTTGAGATAGTTATATATAGGTACATTAAAAAGTTTTAGAGCTTGTATTTATAATGGCCTAATCAAGTTATGTATTGAACATTCAAATTTAAATTAGTGTTTTTAGTTATTTTTTTTTCTAATTTTGTTGTTTTATGTCTGACTTCACTAAGAAAATTTGTAGAGACCACGTGCGTTCATATATAATTAAAAATGTTGCTACCTTCTTAATTTTTTACAGTTGCAACGCCACTACTGACACTACTAAATCTCATTTAATCATCTAGACTTTTTCAGGAAATTGATTTTTTAAACTTACATTATCTGTTAAAATTTGAAGCAGGTAGCAGCAAGATGAAAGCAACAAAACAACAGTTGAGTGCTCGAGATTGCAGGTTTCGAAAGAAGTTGAGGTACGAGTATCTGCACGAGGTGGTCAGTTCTGCTGAGAAGTCAGTCATCAATCTTCGGGCGGAACTTGACCAGGTAAACTTTTACCACAACACAACAATTCAATTAAATTCTGTTTAGAGCTGTTAAATCTTTACGATGCATTGCTAATTTTTTTGAAAGCTTGCAATGTTATTTGTCTAATGTTATGTCACATCTATACATAATAATAATAATAATAATAATAATAATAATAATAATAATAATAATAATAAGATCATTTGTGCAGCGCCCTATGCCTAGCGTCAGAGGCGCCCCGATAAACAAACTTCAGCACGGCCACCAAAGGCCTGTTCAAACAAATGCTGTATCAATCGCTTCTTAAACATTTCTATTGATGAATGCTGACGGATGATGAGTAACAAACTGTTCCATATTGATGGTGAGCAATATGAAATTATTGGTGAGAGCTGATTTGTTGACTGGTTGATGCAGTTGCAATGATGACGGCAGACGAAGGTGATGGTGAGGATTAACAGTTGAGCGAAAGCGAATGAGTTTGGAAAGATATGGTGGTCGAGATGTTTTGAATGTTTTTTTATGTGATGACAGCAATTTTATATTTGATGCGTTGATACAGTGCAGATGAGCAAGAGATGATGAGCTAGAAGACAAACGATGTAATTCTAAAACAAGTTTAGCTAGTCTGTTTTGAATGAACTGATGAGAGGAAATTAGATACGCCGGAGTTCCATGTAACAGAGAGTTGCAGTAGTCAAGACAAGATAATACAAGACAACGTGCTAGCGTAGAGGCCATTTCAACTGTGAGAATAGGTCGAATGTGGCGAATAGACCAAATAATGTAATTGCATATTTTGATGAGAGCAGAAACGTCAGCTTTGAAGCTTTGAAAATAAGAGACAGGTTAAGAGTAATACCCAGCAGTTTAAGACTTGTTGATGTAGACAGGTTTGATCCAGCAATTGACACGTTGGAAAGTGGAGAACATTTCGTGAGTTGCTGTGGTGTGCCATAAAACATTATTTCAGATTTTCGGGCATTAAGTTGAAGGAAATTAAGTGAACACTATTCCTTTATTGATGAGACGACTTAAGTCTATATGTTGAGAAGAGATATTTTGATGAATAATTTTAGATACTATGCTTGTGTTATCGGCCTATTGATGAAAGGGTGAGCCACAATTGTTGAAGATGTCTGTCAAATGATAGTATTGAAAAGCATTGCTTTTAATACAGAGCCCTGAGGAACTCCGGTAGATAAACAAAAAACAGAGGAGATTTGTGTGCCAAGTTTAACAAATTTTGGGCGGTTTAAAAGATATGGATTGAACCAGGACAAAGATGTGTCGGCGATGCCAAAATCCATTTTTAGCCTTTCTAGGAGTATTTGATGATTAATCGTGTCAAAGGCCGCAGATAAGTCCAGTTAGATCATAGCAGCACAGCCACGGTTACCACACATGTTAGTGAGATTATCATATAAATGGAAAAGTACAGTTTCAGTGCTTAGGTCAGGACGATAGGCAGACGGACTGGAAAGGCGCCAAATTTAAGGAAGAGGTGACCTGCGTAAGGATTCTGTTTGAAGCCAAACGTTCAAAAATTTTAGAAAAAGTAGACAAGTTTGAGATGGGGCGATAGTTTGATGGGTCCGATGGATCAAGATTAGATTTTTTTAAGAGCGGGAAAACTCGGGCAGGAAAAACATCTTTGCTAAAAGAAAGATTAGCAAGTTTTGAGATTACAGGTGCAAAGAGTTACGACAATTTTTTGAGAAGAACAGTTGGCAAAACGTCAAGTGGACATGGCAAGAGAGGAGATGAGTTTTAATACCTCTGGAATTGAAACAGCAGGAAAGGCGTAGAAAATATTTGTTGAATATGGTCTGTGTTTGAAAGGTGTTATGTTATTTGTTTCAATATTGTCTTTGATTGACTGATGTACGTTATTAATTTTTGATATGAAATGATTTGTGAAAGAGTTGACAAGGATTCGCACTCATCATCAGAATAGTGTGGTGGCAGACGAGAAAGAAGGATGTTGTTGAGCGATCGCCAGAGATCACGAGGATTACTCTTAGAGTGAAGCTCTTCTTTAATGTAGTCAATCTTGGATTGCATAATTAACGTTTTAGCAATCTCTTTAGCTTTCTTGTATTCAGTCTGTCTTTCTAATCGACGGCAAGTCCGAACCGCATTTATTGCACTAATTGAAAGTTGAATTTGTTTAGGACGAGTGCTGCCTCGTAGAGACAAACGTCTATGAGGGGGCATATTTGTCGAGGAGATTGGCTGTAGATTTGAGGATAGCAAATGTAAGGTCGTCTACGTCATAATCATTAGGCAAAAGTATATTGCAGAATACTTCAAAGAGTTTTTGTTGAAAAGCAGCGATAACTACGACGCTGACAAACAATGATTAGACGTTTTGGCTTTGATAATGTAGTATCGAAGGATACAAGGCTGTGATCAGAGAAAACACAGTCCATGACTCCGATGTTGTCTATGACGTGTGTATGACGTATACTGATAATACATTACCATGGGAATGGGTGGAAGAGTTGACGTGCTGAAGAAGCCTAAGAGCTTCAGTTGCTTATTCAAGGTGTTATTCAATGACTCTGAGCTGCTCCAGTGCATTGAAATCACCAAAAACGATGAATGGGATGTTGAAATTGGTGATGGTGTCGACATGATCACTGAATTCATTTATCAAATCTGTAGAAACGTAACCTGGTGGCCTGTAGATTGAACTGATGATGAAAGAATATGAATATGTGTTGAATTTAACTGTGAGATTTTCGAAGCCAAGATATTTCATGTCATCAACAATAAAGGTGGCTTTGAGAAGGTTGCTGTGCACAATCGCCAGACCTCCTCCACTCTTGTTCTGAGATGAGCCACGATGACAGTGCAAGATAGTGTACTCCTCTGGGGTCAAACCATATTTTATGGCATTTGGAGCGTCGTATGGTACCCATATTTTCGTGATGATGAAAACATTTAAGTTATTTGCACGTATAACTTTATTAAGCAATAGGGCTTTGTTGACAGCTGATCTTACATTCAAAAGTCCGCACTTCAGCATCGCCTGACGTTTGTTGATGTTTTTCCTCTTCAAAGAAATATTCGTGTGTTTTGAACATAGCCAAACGTTTCCATGTTCTGAAGAAGCAAAACAGAGTTTTCCGACAAGCCCTTGATATATGAAAAAAATTTATTGATAGAAGAAAACTAATAAGCTCCGTACGGCTCCACTTCTGGCTTTTCTCAGACGTGAACGATAATGAAGTATTGCAAACAAAACTCTTAGAAAAATAATAAATAAAAATTAATTTCAGTATTAACAACTTTTTACTAAATTATTAATTATATTAATAAGTGAAAAGCGATTTAACAGCAAATGATGAACGCCGAAAAATTTGAAAATTAAACGTTTATCCGGAAAAGGAGATCGCGGTGTAAACACCGCATAGACATTAATGGATAATGTTCAGCGCTTATTATATGTACTTTATAAATGGTTATCTTCTCAAAATTTTGCAAACGAATTTGATAATGTTGTTTCAATTTTGAAATAATTGATGCAGTTGAAGGAGATATGCATGTTGCTGGATAGGAACCTCCCCCTATCAGAACAACAAGAAGATTTCATCGTCCTACTCAACAGAAGACTTTCCTGACGCTTGTCTTTCAACTATCTAGCCTAACAGATTTTTGTTAAGTTATTACAACTGCAGTCAGTTACCATCAATTCGTCATCGTCGTCATCATATCATCATAATCATGTTATCGACAATTTTACCAATATATTCAACTTCTTTTTTGTCGATATTATTCAATTCAATCTGCCCGAGTAGTTATTACGCTATTTATTCAATTTTTTTTGTAATTACATATATATATATATATATATATATATATATATATATATATATATATTACTAGACATACAATTACATACAATATCGTAACAAAGTGTAAAACAAAATCTCATACACTTACATGCGTCGTATATATATATATATATATATATATATATATATATATATATATATACATATATATATATAGTGTTATTAATATACTTATCAATAATTTTTTAAATAACTGATAAATCCAAAATATGCCGGTAATGTTACGAAATAAAAATAAGATTTTAAACAATTTTGCAGTTTTTTTTGTAAGTGAATTAATTAAAAGTTGAAAATGTACTCGAAACCTTTGATAAACATGTTTGAGAAAGATGATGTGGTTGTTGGATGTTGTGTGTGTTGTTGGATGTTGTGTTTGTTGGATGTTTTGCGTGTTGTTGGAAGTTGTGTATGTTGCTGGATGTTGTGTGTGTTGTTGGTTGCTGTAGCGTGTCGCATGCATTTGGTTGTTTCGGATAGTTCAACTGACCATAATATTGGTTGCAAACATTACAATTTCTTTGTAGTTTTGTACATGGAGTGTGCCTGCATTGCGTTATTGATGTCTAGAAACACACTTTTTAAATATCGGTTGCGAATTATGTAGATGTATTTATTTATTATGTATAAATGTATTTTTGTGCGTGTAATGTTTCAAGTTTGTATGGGGTTCTAAGCATGCTGTCTTGTGGTTCGTAGCATGTTGTTTGTGTGTGTGTGCGGGGGGGGGGGTAAGTTGTTCACTGGCATAAATGAAAAGAGATGGTAGTGGTGGGTGCACGCAACAAACAACTTGTAGGATCATTCAACTTTTTGAAACATAAAATGAAAAGGGGACTGTTACTTTTCCTAATACATACAAATATATACAACACGTCCTCATACAGACAAGTGACAAACGTTTGCCGAATGTAAAGTGTAGCAGACGCACATACACACAACACATCCAGAACATAAAATTAAAGGTTAAAAACGAATAATCCAAGAACGAGAAAAAATACTCTGACTATATTTTCCTCGTCCGATGTTCTAATGAATTTGCGGGCATCTGCTAATTTGTTTCTTACCAAACAAAATCAACACACAAATAATAATAATAATAACAACAATGATGATGATAACGATGAAAACGACGATGATGATGGTGCTAAATATTTTGGACCAGCCAAACTTTGCTGTTTTTGGGAGATTAGATGGAGTGTCATAAGATAAGCATGTTCGTATGTTAGTGTGAATGTACGTTGCAAATGACGCGCGTACTGGTATTGATGCCTCTTACATACGAAACGTATTTCGAGCGTGCATGCTAGAAAGATATAGACACACATACATCGTAGTTAGATTATAAATAAATAATATACCAACATCGTCGTAATCAAAAGTAGTTAGTTATACACGTTTATGAAAGTACATGTGTACTATCAATAGTACGAATGTACTCGCACGCACTTGTACGATGATTGAATCTAAGGTGCGTGTACGTACATGTGGGAGGAAGTTGCATTGAAATCAGTCGATGAAGTTAACGTGAACGACGGTAATGACGTCCATTTTTAAATATAACAATAAAATAATTAATAACTTTCATTTGAATGGGGTTACAGGAAAGTGTTATAAATAAAGGGCAACTTTAAAATACGTTGTCTAAAGTGGTAACATTAAATTCAGATGACCAGAATGATTGTTTTGCAGATTATTTCATCATACCATGGTTACTCAGTCAAACTCTTTTGGGAAAAAATAATTTACAAAATTAAATTTCGACGGCTCTCGACGTTTAAATAATGTTCAGCGCGACGTTGGCGTTCATTGGTGTGCCAAGCGACGCCACACCACACCAAGCCACACCAGAAGTCATCTTCTTGGATGTGTCGATTGAAATGTATTAAAAAGCACCAGTCAGTTGATCGGAAATGAGATGAAGCATCACAGATGATGTGGAGAGCACGTCAGATGCTTATATGCAATTATACGTGTGTGAGTGCGTGTGCTTGATGTAATCTGCATAACGTGCGCATAAAGTGAAGAATGAAACTTGATGTTAATGATCATAATTTATGAACGAAGAAGTAACTGTTCATTCATGAATATTATGTACATGAGCGAAAAAGGTGAATGAATTAAAGGTTTGCTAACATTAAATTTTAAAATAACAAAAAACAAAATGTGCAAATGGGTTTACTCAAAGTCGACAAACGTACCTATCTATCGAACCCCACCACAACTTCCAACAGCGCAAAAAAACATTTCAGCAGAGAAGTCACCAGAACAGACGTCAACTGCAACGTATCACGCCGCATATGGAATTGGCGATATTTAACAAGATTATTACTAAGCATTCATTACAAGTATCAATGACATCCTCAAAGTATCGAATTTGTTCCACAAGACTGAAACCTACTTAAAAAAAAACAAAAATATCAAGGAAAATGAATAAATAAATATTTAATTAATTACATTGTAGACAAAATTTGGAAATTTTTCGTGAGACATAATTAGTTAGAATGACACAAGAGCATGCTTGAAGCAATTTGAACACGTGAACATGTGACATTTGCCTCATAATAATTCAACCAGCAGTACCAGAGAGGCCCTACAAAGAACCGTTTAAAACGAGAACTCCTGAAACTCAAGTGCAATAACTGTCCCTTGTCATTCAGGAGTTTCAATTTGTAAGAAATTAAAGTAGAGAGGGTTAGCGTGCGATGGCTTGATGACGATATGCGAACAGTTGATTGTGTATTTCGTGAAACAGACCAGATAGAAATATAGGATGGATTCAGATCAGATACAACATAGACGGAAGAGAACAAGACTTACTGATTTTATTCAGCGGGTTACAAACTAAAAAACTTTGACGTCCCGATTTAAAATGATTCTACCACAACGTGACATGTGCACAAGTAATTATTTGATTGGATTGATCGTTTGATTGAATATTTGGTTGAACTTTCAATAGCAAATAACTGTTTGGTTGATTTGAATGTATTAACATTTGCAAACAAAACCAACCAGTAAGCCAAAATGCGTATTCGAGTGCACGCCCTCATGTGCACCAGCAGGAACACTTAGACGCTCGTTTTGTGATGTTGTTCACAACTAAAAATAAAATAAAAATGTGTTTCAGAGGTAGATGTTTGCCGTGTTGTCTGTCAGTGATGAGGATTATCTAGATGATTAAAAAGATCGTGACGTAGGTGATAATGATGTAGATGGTGGTGATAAAGATGAAGATGACTAAGTGATTAATGTGTTGGAGGACCTCAGGTATTTATACATTCCAATTCGGTTCATATACAGATTGAAGGTTGATGAGTAAATAACGACCAATAATAAAATAAAACGGATAATAATAAAAATAAAGATAGTAACAAATGGAAACGCTCGTATATGGTAAATAATTCAAATTGATACAACAATTATAAAACTGAGTGATCAGATGCTTCAACAACTGCAGACCGAGATGATTGTTGCTGTTGTTGGTGTTGCTGCTGTTGCTGTTGTTGTGTTATGGTTTCATTTGGAAAGTAGATGCTCGGTTCTGTATTGCAACGTTTCATTTTGTTTTTTGACTTTTTCAACATTGTTGCCTTTAGAGAAAAAAAATTGCGTTTAGATAAAATCAATCAACTCATAACAACGGTGAACGTAAGTGTTTGAGGTTTCGAATGTAGAAGTTAATATAATTAACATAAAATATTGTGATAGCGAGGATCACTCGAGCACCAAGCATCTACGAAAACTTCATCATCAACGGTATAAGCATTCACGATTTTCATCGAGCAATTAATTCTGAACAAAAAACTAGTGAAACCTTGAGAGCAGATCTGAGCACCACCACCTGACCAGCCGGTTGGATCCAAGGTTCGCCATCAACCTGCACTGGAAGGTCAGCCAACAACTGGATTCGAATCTGGTCATTGTAAGTCATGTGTGTCTGTGTTCGTGTCTGTGTGTGTAATTGTGTCTAGTTACTAAGAGTGATACAATAATAAGTGATTTGACCTCGCGTTAAGTCGTGTTTGGGCAACTGTGACGCGACAATAGTTGTGCTAAAGATTAAGTTACGATATTCATAAATTTGTCTTTTTACAAATTTCGCGAAAAAAACATTTGATGAAACATAAAAAGAAATGAAATGTTGAAAATCCTTACATGCCCTCCTTGTGCAATTCTGATGGCGCTTCTTAGACCGCTCTGTATCTGCCCCATGTGCACCACTCCAGTCAATCCTACGACCTCCAACATGCCATCGTAGTGGGTTGGTTTTGCAAACTGGTCCTCCTTCTCTGGACCCCACAAGTTCGCTCCCGAGGCCCAACTAAGTGTCGAATGGTTTTGATTGTTGTTCGCTTGCTAATAATAATTATGATGAATTATGAATAAAAAAAATAACAAATGTTGAAGATGGTGAATGTGATTAAGTTGGATGATTAGTTGGTTAACACACAGTTAGATGATTAGTTGGTTTCCATAATGCAGATAGATAGTTTGCACAAAAGTTGAAAATTGCAAATTTTTGTGAAGTTACTAACTTATGTTAAGTTATGTTTGATATTCAACTTTCAATTTCATTCTACCGTTATTAAACTTTTGTTGGCAGCCGAACCAAGGCATAAAATTTGTTGTCAATCAATGAAAGAATTGTTAGAGGTAGTATTTACACAATGGTTGGTTTTCTAACTTGTTTTTAAAATGTTTCCCATCAGAAAGCATCACCTCGAGTAAAAAGTGAATCAACAAGCTATTAACACAACCTCATCGGATATCTGTGATGCAACTGATTCAGGGAAAGTTGCATTGCTCGCGTTAGTGGACATCAGGGCAGCATTTGATACTATGAACCACGAAGTTCTGCGGAAGCGTCCATCGATTTCATATGGTATCAATCGATTAATGATGCTTTAAAGTGGTTTAGTCGTTGGTAATGGCGACTCGGATTCAGTTATAACATCCTTGGTTTGTGGCATTCTGCAAGGCTCGATTCTCGGCCCCCTCTGCTGTACCGTACATGTTACACATAGCTGACATTGTCAAAATGGCTGAAACATACGAACTACTTTGTCATCTATGTGCCGATGGTTCTATTTAGTTCGCCGAACTCACAAGATATTACCTAAAGACTTTGGTATCATTCTTGACGTAGATCTTTCTATGGAAAAGTGTGTAAATTTGCTCTGCCCGAGCAATATAACGTTATTTGACATTTGATTTAGCATAAACACTTGCTTCTAACTTTTTTGCAAAATAATTGATAATTGCAACTCAACTATATATGGAATAAAATCATCTCGCCTGGATTTTATTCAGACAACTATGAATGCTGCTGCTAGATTTTTTGCCAGGACTCCAAAATTCGAGTCAATATCGAGCTACATACAAAATGAATTGGCTTTGTATGCCAATGAGAATTAAATTTAAAAGTGTAGCTTTGATCTGATTATAATAGATGATTGTCTTACAGACGATGCACCAGTCTACTTAAGAGAAATTTAGAAGCTCTTTACTGAAGTGACTGACGGTGATCATGTACCTACGCCATTCAAATTTGCTCATTTTGGAAAAAGACGGTTTTCAATTTCTTCTGTCAAGATTTGGAATCAATTACCTGCCAAACAGAAGATCAACATCAAGATTGGCCGTGATAAATTCACTAATTGGTTTAATATTTCTTGTTTAACAACCAGGAGCAGGAAAGCGTCTCTGAAATTTGTTCATACAAAGCGTTTTACATATTTTGGATACGATACGTTTACCAATTAATCATTTGAAATTCAATGGTTTATAACCTTTAAATTAAATTGAACAAAAACTAGATACCAGGTCGCTTTTTTATAAATTTTGATATTAAAATGTTGCGATACTTAATTCATTAGGTTAAGAACAACGTCTCATTAAAAGGTTACCATTAATACTATATATTTAGATAATTTGATTTGATTCTGCTAACATATACTGCTACAAAAAACAGAACATGAGGTCGAAGACGTGCTGATTACATAAACCTACTCCACTAGAAAGGTTTCTTTTCTATGTCCAAACTATCGAGCAGAGAGAACTGAACGTAAATAAATACAAAAACGCCACATCAAGATGTTTTCAAAGACAGTTGTTTTACTTGAGCCTTCTCCGTGATGTTGACATCCATTTTTATTCATATTTATTAATAATCAACATTTTCTAGCAGTCCATTAAAAACATTTAAAAATGTAAATAATAGGTTGTTTTGATTTTTAATTAGAAGTATATTAAACGTGATTATGTCTAATGCTGCCGCTGCTCTTGGCAGATGTCTGTTCCTTTCTAGACTGGACAACTGATGGCAAATTTCATCGGGAGGCTGCAGACTACCCAGAATAAGACCGCTCCACCGATCTTCAATAAACCTCTTTGTTTCAGCTCTTCCACTATCTTTCCAATGTTTCCTTTAAAATATTGTTATAAAAATTCCCAGCTTACCTTTACGGTCTCTTATCCCGCCACGAACATGCTAGATTGCTCCGCGCATCCTCTACTGGTTTCTTATACATTCCTTTTGCCAAATCCCACCTCACTAGCCGCTGCTTTTGTCGCGTCGCTCCAAGTGTCTGCATTGCGTTACCTCTTGAATTGAAACAATGTTCCTCGTTGAGCGTCTTTAAAAAAAGTCTAAGGACTCGTCTTTTAAACACAGGCTCCAGGCGCCTCTGAAACACCTGTGCGAATCGGCGCTATAAAAATGCTCATATTATTATTATTATTATAGCAACCTGAGTATGTTGAGAATGATAACTCCTTCGACAGGTGGTACGTCAACTGATTTCCCATCAACTTCCAAGCGAATAGCTTTGTGCAGGTCTTTGCATGATCGTTTGTTGACCATTTTTCGTAGGCCTATCTTGAAGTACATGCTCTTGTTGTGTAGTCTGCATGTTGTTGAATTTTTCATGTCACGTGCGTCTTTGATTTTGTTCATTCCTTAATAACAAACTACCGCAAATAACAAAAGCAGTAATGAAACCAAAACAAAAATTAAAAAGAATCAAGCGACAGAATATGATAAACTCTTATACATCGAATTAATAATGACTCTAGTAATTGGTTCTAAAAACATTAAAGATTTTTTACAATATGTTATGAAATGATTAGAAAGCTAATTTGTATTGCACCAGGGTTGATAGCAGTAAATTAAATAAATAACGCACGCCGCTGTTAAAAAGTTAAAACTAAAAAAACAAGAGAAATTTGTTGAAAAGTTTAAGAGGAAGTTTGAACGGAAGTCAGGAAACCTGCTGTTGAACTTGTCTGGGTTCTCTTCCCTGGCCATGTGGAAGTCAAGGCAGAGATCAGCATCGATGCCTATGCCAAAGTAGTTGTTCATGACAAAGATGGACGTGGGGTCCTCGTTCAGTTGTGTCGTGTTCGTGTCGTTAGCGATTGCAACTTTCACGTCGTCGACATCTTTCTCGTTCGGGTGGAATATTACTGTCCACCTTAAAGTATCCAACATTAGTGATTATGAAATATGCAGCAGAAGATTTCCATCTACATTAATGCATTCCTACATTTAGATTTAATTCACTTCATTTCTGCTTATTTAAAATTTAAAACCTCAATGTATTTGAAGAATTTCTTGTTTAATTCGTTTTTGCCCTATTAAAGATAGCCGCCATCTGCATTTATTTCATGAGACTATAAAATGCTATAATTCAATAGGCTTTGTGTGAATTATTCTATCTAAATAACAATTTTTGATCATTAATTTGAATATATTATTATTATATTCGTGTAAATGATGCTTTCAATCTCAAAAACATAAAATTAATCACCACAGTCAAAAACATCACCATCACATCACAGCAAAGCACAGTACACCACTACACATTACCATCACAGCATATCACTTCACAGCACATCACCATCACATCACAGCAATCTTATAGATATGCATTAGTTCAACTTGAACACATTCGAACATCAGCAAATCCCATGGACAACCAACCGATCCAGTTTGATGTCCTCCGCCTCAATGACGTCCCTCAAAAGAGATAATGGATCCTCGGCCCCCGTGTATCCTGGTCCCCACCTCAAGACGCGGGCTAAGTCGTTGCCTGTGTTCATTGTTTATTCATCAAAATATGACATTTCAGCCAGTCTTATTCAAACTTTATTCTTCCTAACAGTGATGTTTATAAGTTGATCACTCTTCAAGAACGAGTTATTTAAAAAAATGTGACTGTCTTGAAATATTTTATTTATGCAAATTCCCGTGCATCGATATGAAGTTTGAAAATTCCTGTTAACATTAATCAAAACAGTTTTTTTACTGAATAGACAGCAAACAAATAAATTAAGCATTAAGCAAATTTCGACAAATATTGTAACATAATTTTAGTATACAGTAGTAATATGCTCACATCATTCAAAGTACATCAATGTTTAACCATTAACCATTTAAATTAACCAACTCAAATACTAATGTACGAAATAATATTTGTAAGCCAAAAAATTAAACTATTTCGGAAAAATAAGTTAAAAAAAATGTTACTTCTAGAATAAGGAATACAACGTAAAAATATTCAACTTATTCTTTATAGAATTTATTTTTTAATAACTTTTTTTAGTTTTTTAGGTTAGAAGAACACCTGAAGCAGAAGGTATCTTGCATGAATTTATTGAAATTTCGCCATCTTGTTGTTTGAAGTTAGTTTATGAAATGTCATTTATATTAAACATATTTTGTGCTATTAAGAATGCATTTTTCTGACACGTTGTTTATTAAAGTTCCTTTTTTGACACGAATTCATGATTAAGAACTCTATCCTTTTACAATTCTAATCACATGCGGACATTTCAGAAGCTGCATTGTTAAAAAATGTTTAAAATGAAAAAATAAAAAAGACCAGTTCCAAGGGGAATAACAGCCATAGGAGGGGACTGACAGAGAGCATCTTGCCCCACATTATCCAAGCAGGAAAGAGCCCAACCCACCGATCCGTCCCCACCGCACACCAAAATTTTGAAACGGGGCAAGTTACGGAACACGTACAATCTAATATTTTAAGTAAAATAATATATTTGCTGAAACAATCTGTAAGAAGGTCAAATCGATACAACATTAATTTATGAATCTTAATATGAAATAAACAAATCCTATAAATCAATAACAATTTCAGACCTAACTAGACCGAAAGAAACTGACTTAAGCTAAAAAATTCTCACCCTGGCAAGGGCCCTCCATTCATGAGATCATAAACTTGGTGAGGATTGAGAAGTTTTCTGAATGATCGGATCAGTTCCATGCCCTGTTGTCCACCACTTTTAACATTAACCAAAACCAAAAGCGGCGTGGTCGATGATTGAATCATAAGGGGCTGTTGTGTGACAGTTGTGTGCGTTGCTATTTATATGGTGCAACGCAATCTATAAACTCAACAGCGAAATGACTACTTCATCAGTTGAAACTAGTTTCAAAATTTATTACATTTATTTAAAAAAAAAACAGTCGTGATCTAGCTAAGATTGAAAAAAATTTTATCGTTGAACTCGCAGTCAGAAAAACCTTCAAACCTTCCAGAACGGGCAAAGTTTGTTTAATGTCTGCATCGACGCATTTACAACAAATTAAATTATAAAACCGCAACGAAATGAAACCTGTATATTTGGTAAAAGTAGGACAAGAATTTGCTTGTCATCAAAAGAAGCCTCCTGCAGCAGTTTGTACGACCTGGATGCCCTCTCCGTACTGCAGTACATGAGCACCAACGAGCCATATTCGTAATATATCACATCAAATTTTGACCACTTGTTCTCTATTCACAAATACGTTATAATCAAAGTATAATCAAACTATCAACAAAAAGAGTAAATTAATTATATGCCAATCACATATCAGAATGGTTGTGATCAAAACAATGTTGAAAATCGTGCTGCAGTGAAATTACAAAAATTAATAAAAAGTTGGAAAAGATGCAACAACTAGTATTTTTTGAGAATTGAGAATTCGAACCTCTGCCAATGATGTCGAGTAGTATGTGCTCATATTGTCTTTGTGAGAGGTTGGTTGGTAAATTACCTACATACATGGCAATGTTGGGTCCGTGTGGATCGTCTTTCTGTTTTATGTAGAATCGTGTCATTCTGCTCTGTCTAAGGCATTCCTAAAGTTACAGTTAAATTTAAATCGTTTATATTTATTTATTCTGGAGATCATTTTGCATTTTATAGCTTAGGCAGATTCGATTGTAATAAAGGCAATGATGCATAATAAAAAACCAATAATAAGCTACAAAGTTATTTAACGTAATTAACCTCATTACAATAACGGATATTTGAACGAGTTGACACGGGGCAATAATATATTATTTTAAAATATTTGGCAAAGAAAGAGTGGCCAACCTTCCTGCTTCGTTGCATGATTAGAAAAGGTTTGTCGTCTTCACTGAGTTCTCGTTCTGAGACACCTTTGTCTAAAACAACCTCCACTAGAGTGAATTGACTGGGGTTAGCGTTCTGGTTGAAAAATAGATTATCAATCAACCAATTATTATGATATTTCGCAAAGATGTTATATACAACTACAGGAACAAAGGCCTGGATTAAACAAATTCTCTGTATAAACTGCAACAAGTGCTGGATCGTACAAATTCTTTATATAATCTGCAACAAGTGCTGAAGATGATTGAAAAATTGATATAGGTCCTATACTCTCGAGAATGAATTGGAAACGTTATATTATTCTAACTTTAATAAAATAATTAACGACGACAAGAATTTGATTAGAAATATTGAGAAATGTAATAAAAAACTATCCAACACTAGAAATTCGGTACATTTAATAAATCACTGCATTCATTATGGTCTTTTACTAGCATGTTATATATATATATATTATATATATATATATATACACCAAAGTGTTATATTACAACCATAATATATGTAATTAACTTAGTTACAAACTCAACAATGCGGAAAATGCTGTGATATTTCTTAATAACTAAATATACAACAGTCTGAACTCAAATGTATATATATATATATATATATATATATATATATATATATATATATATATATAGAAAAGAGATACAAAACGCGTGTAGCCTAAAACGAGTTAGGTGTTACAATTTGTGCACCCTTGGTCTTGGTGAGATATACATACTCGTACTTCTTTCAGTAGCAGGTCGACAAATTCTCACTCTTATACATAATTGCGGATATATATATAATTTCACCAAAATAGTTCAATTTACCCCAAAAATATAATAAAATAAGAAAATTCAACAAAGAAACTGACTTCAATTCCAAACTTGTGCAACGCAAGACTGATGAGTTCTTGAGCACTACTTTCCTGCTGCACGGGAATGTGTTTGAATGTTACATCCGCTTTTGGAGAGATGTCACTGTTAAATAATTTCTTTTTTTGTCATTTTCATCATAACTTACACCGCAGTTTTAATTAATATATGACAATCAATAAATATTAGCATACCAGAATTGTTCAGTGAATGTTCATTCAAAAAGATCACCGACAATAAAAGTTTGAAATCTCAATGGATAATCAACATAAACTAATTTTTTGTGTTAGGTGAGCCTATTATGCACAATTTATAAATTTTTCCCGTTTGAAGATCTCACATTGTTACGGGACTACCTGGACCAAGATGGTAGTAACAAAACCGCTCGTATCGATTCCTCAGCCATCATAATCTACATCATCCAACATCATAATTCAAACCAATGTTGTTACCACCGCAAAAAATTATCGAACTATACAGCTAGCATCCAAATCACCTCAGTCCTTTGGGATAAATTCTGATGTATCCTTTGTTGGCGTCTTGTTCTCTGTACCTCAGGAGCACAGCGGTCTTCTTGCCATGCTTCATGGAAACCTGTCCATGCAGAGGCTGGGTTAAGTCCAACACCTTCTCGCCTGATTCTGTGGCGTTTTGTTGTCACCCTCATAATTATTATGTTTTCATGTGAAAAAAACAATTTTAAATGAAATTTTATCTGTTTGGTGATCCCGCAATTGTTTTACGTTTTAATGATTTGGCAACAAAATATTACACGTCCGAAATTGATCTTTCAATTACTTCCTTCAAAAGAACAGCTTTCACTGAATTTTTACATCATCTCATTTTGCATCCAGCAATTGCATTTCTTTGCGACCAACTTCTTATTATTCATTATATTTAACAATCTCCCTGCTTTTCCTTTTCCAATCGAATTTTTTATGCCAAACTAACCACTTTCTGTAATTACATTTATTGTACAGTGTAGACATTCCAAAACCGGTTCTCAAAATATTTCATTCACATCTCTAAGTCATTTTTTGCGTACTTTTTTTCGTTTTATTTTTTGTGTGTTAAGAATTTTTACCAACAAACTGTTTATAATGCCTCACTTCTAATATCATGTTGACAAATTATTTTTTTTTACAATATTTAGCACAACTTTACAAATATTCATTCCCAGATTTCAAATCATCAAAATATCTTTTCGAAACAATAACACTACTTATTTCATCCATTTTTTTGTCTCACATGGTAAACAAAAAACTCTGACTCCTGAAACAAACCCATAAATTATTTCAGCTATCCTACTTAAACATTTTAACTGTGTAAATGAGTTCATTAAACAAATGAAGAATATTGAGCAGTTTTCATCAAAAAAATAAAATGAATTTTTTTTGGTGAAAATGACTGATAAAAAATTATTGGTGTAAATATTTGAAAAATGAAATAATTAAACATCAATGTTATAAACATCAAAAGAAACCATTCTCAGTGGCTTCTGAAATGGAGAAATTGTTGGGGTCATCAGATATGTGGAATGTTCGGAGAGCTGCTTCCTGCATCGTTCAATTCACGTTGTAATTATTATCAGTTAAATAACGCTAATAAAGCTACAAATGTGAGATTTACAAATATTCAACTGTGAACTTAATAAGCTTCATCCAGAAAAAAATTATAACAGGCAACTATGAGCAACAACTGACCAATAACATTTGAGCAGGGGCTTGTTTCGGCACTACAGTCAGTCGATGTTGTTTTCGTTTGAGAGAACTATTTCCATCATATAATTGGACTATTTCTGATCGGTCGAATATTACGGTTTTATTATTTATCCCAATTATTATTAACAATATTAGCAAAATCAAATTTTAAGCGTAGCGTCTTGTTCTCTGGTTGTCTGGGTCCATCCAACCTCGAATCACTAGCGAAACTTACAAAAGAAAGTTACATATGCCTTTCATTTTCATCATCAAAGTTGTTTAACGGTGCATTTAAGAATCAACATCACCAATCAGACGCCTACGAGATCACATAATCGTGCCATGTCATCACGTGACCCCACCATATAGCATTACTACATGACTTCCGGTTAGCCACTTTCACGACATGATTTGTAATTTCTTTTACAAACTCTGCTTCCAGGACCTGAGCAATAATAACCCAACCATGCAGACTGCCTTGCTCGCAACAGCTTGGGTTGTTTTTCATAGCTACGAAAGTTGCAATGCAGCTTCAATCACTGACATCAGTCAAACACCTCGTTTAAAAAATTATTGACCAACATCGATAATTCATATCCATGTTTTGGTGAAAAAAATTAGTAAGGAAAATTGAAGCAGTATCAGGACTTTTTTACTTCAACCTTCCCAGAAACGCATTGGTACTTAAACGCATTTGTATCTTGAATAGATATTGATTAAAACATGTAACTCATCTATAAAGAGTAAATAATAATTTTTTGAAAATTTGTTTTAATAACCTGGCCATTGAACGAAATTAATAATTATGACGATGATAATAATGATGATAATGACAGTGACTAAAATTGATGATGATGATAATGATGATGAGAAGGATGATGATGATAGTGATGATGAGAAGGATGATGATAATGATGCCAACATCTACTACACTCCTTCTTACCTTCTTCCCTCTCCTTCTCCTTGATTTCTTTTGGAGATTTCTTGTCCACTTCGTCGTCCACCTTCGAGTCACTCGTCATGTCAAACTCGGGAACTGAATAAAAAGTTTCATTTACATTTTTATTGAATTGTAAATCATATCAATTTTTTACAACTATTTTGACATAGGATAATGGCCACTTAGTGAAAATGTAATTAACTGTAATTTTGTATAATAATAATTAATACTAATAACAATTTTATAAACAACAATATCAAAATATAAAGCGCCACAAACAGAGCAGCTTCATAGGAGCCAAGTTAGTGTATATTGTGCATCACCAGTCAGCAAACCAGTCAATATTCAATCAGTCTGTGTATGTCAGCTAGTCATTCAGTCAGCCAGCCAACCAACAAACCAACCAGCTAGTAAATCAATCAATCAACCAGCCAATTAATCAATCGACCGACCAATTTATTAATCAGCCAACCAATCTACTCTTTCATCTATGAATAGTTACAAACCAGTTCTCTTAGGCAGTCCAAAAAGAATTTCTTGCGGTACATCCATGCGGGGTACAGTGACGCTGTAGGGGGGCAGCATGATGTCCCTCAGACAGCCAAAACTGCATTCTGATGGCAACTGTTTGTAACAGGTTGCGTGTGCCTGCAAGTTTCAGGAAACATACGAATGAATGAATGAACAAACGAACGAACGAATGATGTTATTAACATGTTCTGTAACAATTTATAACGTGTTTAGCAATCTACTAATAAAACTCACAATTTTTAGCGTATTTGTAAAACACACACACTTACACACACCCACACGCAAAACACATATTTAAAACGTATATTTAATATTTAACTTAAGCAACAAGTTATCCACTAACATTTTAAAATATAAATTAAACACAAATGCAACGGAAAAAATGAAATGAGAAATGAAACGGATATGACACGACATTAAGAAACACATAAGAATATGAAAAGAACACGAGAGTGCGTAACAGAAGATGAAAGAACAGAAGATCATATAAGAGATGACGAGGGAACAGGAAAGTAAACAACTCACTGTGACTCCGCACCACTCGCATCTCATGCCCGCCAGACATTCAGCAGACCAGCATGTCTTCTTGCAGTGGAAACATTTTGAATTTCCCGCCAGGTTTCCCTCTCTCCAGTGATGGTACTGCACCACGCACGACTGCTCACACCAGCGTGGCAATAATAAGTTAATATGCTAATGTCAATGATCGCACTAACATTTTATAATTCACTCCAAACATTTATTAAAATGTTTATAACATAACACAATAAAGGGTGCGAACTATAAGTCCCTATTGCCTCCATAGCAGATAATGTACGTAAAGATGCTGAATGACATCACAAAAAAATTTGGCACATAAAATAGACTCAAATGAAGGTTAAAATTATAAGGCGCCAAATACCAAAAATTACATTAAAATAATTTAAACTGAATACCACAAGACTGGTGAAAACATTAGCATTTCAAAAGCATTAAGAAATACGTGAAAATGCCTGGAAACATGAGAAAAAACGTGAATGTTTACATGCAAATGTTTGTGATATTTTGCATTCTGAAATGTCTTCAGACAATACAATGTCAAACTGATGCAGAAGGAGAACTACAATAAATGTACCTTAATAACACAATAATTGAAAACGTCCCGTTAACAAAAAACAAAAAAGTATATCAACCACTAAATGAAATTTAAACATTTCTCACGTTGAAGATTTTCATGTCATTTAAATTGGTTAGCAATTAAGAAGTGCTGTATTTAAAATGTTGAATAAACTTTACACGAACAGTAAAAAAATTATTTACATTACAGAATATAGACTTGGGTAGTTATTTTTCATGATTGGATTGCTGAGAAATACGAAGCAACATACCACTAATAAAAAAGAAATGAAAATATAAATAGAAACCTCAAACATCACTAACAACAACACTAACAACAACACTAACAACAACAGTAACAACAACACTAACAACAACACTAACAACAACAGTAACAACAACACTAACAACAACACTAACAACAACACTAACAACAAACAACGCTAACACCGACAACAGCTTTATGTAAAGGAGAACAGCTTTCAGACACAAAAAAAACCACAACTTCAGATGGGACATTTGAGCATTCAATCAGTCTGTTTCATGGGACAAAATACAGAACAACATAACTTGCATCTTACCAAGACCTAACTCCAAATAACTCACACACACGCAAACACACATATGCGACAGATATCATACATGCTTCAACCAACACAACGTAATAGATATCGTAAGCACATGCTCCAACCAACACGACCTGATAGATACGAACAAACCAACGAACGAACAAACGAACGAACAAACGAATGAACGAACTAACAAACGAACAAGTAAACGAACAAATGAACGAACAAACAAACGAACCAGATCTTTGTTTGGAACGTAAGTGGCACATTCCTTGCAATCACTTACAGCGAAATCCTGGCAGTCAACGTGGGAATAGTACTCACAAACTGTGTCGGATGCAATCATTATTATCATCATTAAGTGATATTAAATTTAATTGGAACGAGTGAATGAGTGATGTAGTCATGTAATGCGCTGATATAATTATATCATTAATGATGTAATGTAATGATTGATTTAACCATTCAATTTGGATGTAATGATGGAAGTACTAATGTAACCATCTAATTAATGCTTTGGTATAATTATGTTAAGTAGTGATGTAGTTATGTGAAATAGTGATGTGATCATGATGAAATTTGTGACGTATTTGTGAGAATTGCTGACGTAATCATGAAAAAATTATTTCAATAAATTATTAATTGTTTACGCGTTCTTTTTAGAAACACTGCAGGATTAAAAATTTGTTCAAAGACATTCGAACGCAAAAATCATTCACTTATTAAGATGTGATACTCGATGTCATTCAGTGAAACATTATAATTTGCTGTCAATAGAGTTAACACAACTGAATTTTAACATTTTTTTATTTGATTTCATAATTTGCTAGAAAGTCTTCATTTACTTACTCCGTCATTAACTTGACCTAATAAATGCAGTACAGTACAAAAATAGCAATCGTCATGCAATCGGGCTGCAACAATCATTAGACTACTCAGCATTATAACGACACATGAAAAGATGCAGCATTAAGCAACGCGTGTTTAAAATTAGACAACATATTCATTGAAAAAAATGTGACTGATGCATGACAGAAGTGAGCAAGTTCATTTAAATGTTCGTTGAAATCCTTCAGAAAGCAAACTTTGAAAGGGTCAAGACGGCAACGTCCAGCTGATCAACATAACAATAGCTTAAAGATGTAAAGAAGAAATGATGAAATGACGAAAATGATAAGAGAGTTGAAGAGTACGAACTTTCACATCGAATGGCAAGACTGTCCTCCAGCCTCTTCCTGCACAGATTGCAAAACTTCCTTTTGAACTGACCGGGCTCCGACCAGCAGTGGGCCACCGGGTTCTAACGCAAACAAAACAATTGAAACACATTGAGTTATTCAAAGTTCATTAGATGAATTTATTATCAAAAAAATTTTTTATTATTACTCAAATATAAATTTTCTATACCACGTTTTCCTTTCATTAATTTAAATTCATTACCGTTTAAAAAAAAATTATAATTGTTTCTTATCTGAAAACTCGGAGTGGACGCTTTGTTGGTGAATTGTGTAGGTGAATTAATGGCGTAGATAATTTCGAGAGGTGTAAATGAATTGTGAATGGATGTTGACGCAATCCAGGTGCATTTAGATGAATTGTGGATGGAGATGAATTGTGGATAAATGTAAAGGCAATTTGGAAAGATATAAATTGTGGGTGGTTGTAGAAAAATTGTAGATAGACGTAGATGAACAGTAGATGAATTCAGATCATTTGTTCGTGAATTCTGAATGAATGTAGCGAATTGTGAACAAATGTTATTGAATGTGTACGAATTTTGAATGGATGAAGATGAATTGTGAATGAATGTAGATGATACACCTTGATCATATTGGAAGCAATACTGGAACATGGAGACACAACTGTGCGTAGACATCTGTCATGCACAACGAAGTTGCAAACTGTTGTTGACGAAAATATTTTAATATTCATTTATTAGTTACAATATTTTTAGCACATTTAAAATAAATATCAACATTTGAATGACATAATTACATGTCATTAAGTCGTCCTGCTAAGCAATTAAAACATTCTATATCTATTAGTTATTTCTTTAATAATCTGATCAATGGAATGCAGTTTCGATAACAATTAGTCAACAACTCAGTTAGAAGATCGAGTGACGTTTTTGTTCTCTTTAGTTCCGACACATACGAGTGAATACCTTATTTTTAATTGCATATAACCTTCCAAAATATCGTATCATCTTCCAACGGCTCCGCAACTGTTTATGCACACAAACTTATGAACCACATATTTTTAGGAATAAAATGAAAGTGGAAAACGTGGCACCTTCACAGACGTATCCTTGTCCTATGAGGCCCCAGAGCATATCCGTGCAGTGGTGACAATATGTTGGTCGGTGGAAGGTTTTTTTAATGAAGAAGTGTCCGTATCCTCTCTCGACGTCCGCTCCAACGGAAGCATTATTATTTTCGCCGGCTATGCCATCCATCGGGGAATCGGCCGCCATTTTCGCTTAAAATTGTGACGACTTTGCGTGCGAAACTGAGGCTGTGGCTGGTAACATCCGTATTCGAAACGCAGACGAAGTGGGTGAACGTTCAAGTTTTATAAGGTTTTAAACAGGTCATTTTGTTGATATTTAAAGATTGATCTGAATATACAAAAATAAAACTCGTCCGACATTATCAGGAACGACCGAATATATTTTCTGCTCAGCACACACGGGCCACCACGTATAGATTCATATACTTTCAATATTCTCAGACAATCTGTTTATTTTTCAAATGCTACAGCTCCTTCACGTAACAGCAACCAACACCAAAGCCATCGCGCACATTATAATACTTGTATGTATGCATCCATGCATCTATATACGTTTTTATGCCAAACGTCTGTTCGTGCAATATCAATTCTATAAAACTACCGCTAACGATATGAATGTACACTCATGTACGTAGCGCCTATACGTATCCCTCACGCCTAAATGTATGCATGTAAGATAACGCTCATACATATACAATGATAATGCATGTATGTATTGGGCACAATGCTTACCTAACTGCAAATATATACAACAATAAGAATGTATATATATATATATATACACATATATAAATATATATATATATATATGATTATACGCAAAGGTTTGAGCGTACACCATACAGTACAGCATCCTTTCATAGAACAACGCAGAGTATGCGGGAAACACACAACATACATTTATACTTCACTTCCATACAAACAGCATTGCACGCGTAATTATATATGCGTTCGTTGTATGTATTTGTATATGTACTACATATATATGTATATATATTTTATATGCATATACATGTCTATATATATATATATATATATATATATATATATATATATATACATATTGAATGTTTGAAATACGCAAGGATTTGCTAAGCATTCCACATGGGCACTTGCCCAATATGAGACGCAAAATATATGGGGCTGGCGTTGTAACTTAGTTCTTAGTTGAAGAAATTATCGACATATATAAATATACAAAATACATACATATATATATATATATATATATATATATATATATATATATATATATATATATCCTAATTAACATATGAAAATTTATAAGATGTGTGCTTGTTCTTTATTCCACATAGTATATGTGTATGTATAGATATGTATATTCACACATATACACACAGATATATATATACATATACATATATATACATATATATATATATATATATAAATGAATATACATATATATATATATATATATATATATATCTATATTTGTACGCACAAGCGTATGGTGGGTATAGAAGGGAGGCATGCAGAGGAATTATTTATACTAATGTGGCTGCTGGATGGATCAGGTCTTTCCAAGGAGGTCGATCCTGTGGTCGTGTGTACATCTTCCTGAATAAACACTCTGTACATGTGTCTCTTTGGGTTTATATATATATATATACGTACATATATATATATATATATATATACATACTACCTATATATATATATATATATATATATATATATATATATATATATGCATACTACCTACATACCATATCTACAGGCTAGAATACACATACATACATATGCAGATGTGGTCGTACGCTTGTTTTCCTGTTGCTACAAGTGGAACAAGAAGACACATACCAATTATGAATATTCACAACCAGCCAATTAATTATTCACCTTGCCACATCACCATTCCGTAAGATTCGTCCAAAGTTGTTAAAAATAACAGCGCCGCACAACTTTTACGCAAAACGATTTTATTTGAGGTTTATCATGTGGCTTTTTTGCAAAATCCAAATCAAAAATCTTTAACTGAATAAATAAAAAAACGGTGAACCAATATTGTTATATTTTAATTTTTTGAATCAATTAGTTGACTTATCTGCAAATTTTATTAAAATAAAATTCCAACCTACACATAACAGTTTAATTTTAGTTTAGTTGACAAATTAAAAGAGAGCTCTGTGGAATGAAGTTTAAAAAAAAGAAGTAAGCTTCTTACATAAGTTGCTTATTTCGTCCCCAAAAAATATTTGCATTTGCCATTTATAATAACAATGTTGAAAATCAACATTTATTTGATAAGATGACAAATTTTTGTTCCAAGTAAAATATCTTATAAAGTAAAAAGTTATAACTTTCATTGAAAATGTCTTTCTCGACATGCTTGTTTTTTCGTCAGAATAAAAAAAAATTTTGAAATGTTGTTTGAATGAAAATCATGCTTAATACTAAGAACAGAAGTCAGTTGCGATTTTCGGATCGTGCTGTATTGTTGTTAAGGTTGCCTTGGTGATGGCATGCAAACATGGTTTCATTGTTTGCAATGCAAATTCATTCACTACTTTTATGATTTTATCAACTCTTAAAACATACTCTCGATACCGTATTGCATTCATTCCAGATTTGTTTTTTGAAAATGGACCACAAGAAAAGGTAAGAATGCGTTTCTTTTCATTTTATAAAAACGTAAAATAAAAATTTACCGAAAATTTGTCTGTTAGCTCGTTGGAAACCTACAACAGTTTGACCGATCCGAACTTGGGAGCATATTTTTCCAAACAAAAAATTCAAAAACATCTGAAAAAATCTGGACTGGTAAGAGTTTATGAATATGATAAAAATGTCAATTTATTTGGTAAGCTGATGCTGACTATTCATTACATTGCTTCATTCAAAAACAATAAATGTGTTTTTGCCTAATAAATCATAGAAAAAATAGAATTCTGAGTGCTGCTCAACAATAATTTTGTGCAACGTTTTTAATAATTTCATTTCACTACATCAATTATAAGTGTTATGCCTAATAACGTGTTAATATTTTTAATGCTGAATGACGTGTAGATTTCAAAGCGTGGCATCATAATTCCTGAAAATGAACTGAAATCTCGATTGATAAAAGAGGAGAAAGAAGAAAAGATGAAGATGATGCTGTTGCAGGAGGTCATGGAGAGGTCGTATGAAGAAGAAAAAAGACACCAACAAATTATTAAGCAGAAGTTTGATGAGATTGCTAAACTGGAAGCTGTTGTGCTAAGAAAAGTTTGTCCCTGTGATTGCTCACTTGTGGCAAAATTAAATAACTACACAGCAAATCTGATTTTTTAAAATTCTTTTTCTATATTTTGATTTTTTAAAATTCTGTTTTAAGGTTTTCTTTAAATTTCAAATTTTGGTTTACCACAAAGTTTTTGACAGGAAACTTGAATTTGAGATTATATCAAGTATCTTGAATACAACAGGAAGAAGAAAGACAAAGAAAATTGAAGATGAACGAAATATTTCTTCCTGGACTGTCTACGCTTTCTTTAACATCTTTAAAAAATTGTTTAGATTCATCTAACTACCAGGTGAAATCATTTTTTATTATCTTTAAATTGATATGATCTTCTTGTAAGGTTTTGAACAAATGATTAATAGCAGCCAAGTAGCACGAAATTTGAAAATTTCACCGACCAGCCAATAAATCGAAAGTTCTCGAAATTGCAAAAATCTTTTTCGATGTCAACGCTAAGTTCAGCTTCTTTGAAGCGTTCCCGAAGTGCTCCAAAAAACTCGTTGAGAAACGTACGTTCGTTTGATGTCTAACGCATCCATATTTTGAAGTGAATGCTATTTCACTCTTAAATTCATTTCAGGTTGCATCGGCAAAAAATTCACGGCAGCTGCCTTGCATCATAACTTTATATTATTATGGTAGAAAACACGTAAGCAACAGCAACAACATGGATTACATCAAGGTGGAGCAACAGGTGAGTGAGATGGCTTCAGTTATTGTCTTCAGAGGACCGGTTTCTTATAAAAGTAAGTTTCTCTGATAATTATGTTTATAGGTACTTTTTCCAAATGTGTTTGAGTAACAAGTACGTTTGTGTATGAGATAATTATTTGTGCACATGAAATTAGTTACTATCAACTATCCTGTTTGCTTGAAAATTTAAAAGTTTATGAACTTATAGCTAAATAATAAATAAACGTTGGTGAAAATTAGTTATATATAATTCAATGTGAATGCCACGTCGATAGTTAATTAGTGCAATAATCAACAAATTTTAAAAATTAAAATTTTTAAAGAAAGCAGGACACTAAACGCTAACATTTTTTATTTCAAAGCTTCTTTCTCATTCGCTGTTCGCCGAAAACCCGGTCACCCATTTAGCTTCACCATATACATTGAAGGATTGGTTTACTGCAGCGTTAGTTCCTGCTGTGAGTACAAACACAGAATGGGATCAAAGATTGGAGGAAGGAAAGGATTGTTCAAATTTAACGGAGTATCTGGGGGAAACATGTGCTCATGGTTAGTGCATGTGACGTACACTTTTTCATCTTACGCAGTAAAATAATCAACATTTTTTCAAACTTTAGCTGTAAGGTTGCATTGGATTTGAAAAAGTCGACAAAAAATAATAAAGAAGTAAACATGGAAAATAAAGGTTATTTAAGCGTAGCCAATACATTTTTCAAAATATGAACGAAAATGTAACGTAGTTTAAACAATATAAACTTGAAAAAGTCCCATTTAAAAGCATTTAATGTGTAATTCAAACAAAACATCACAGAAACATTACTAAAATCCGAAGATGCACCATTTACTCCTTGTGATAACAAAAGTCAAAATAATGTGGATGCCCGTCCAAGGAGCCTCAAATCAAAATTTTCGAAAAAGATTAAAAAGAAAGAAAATCTGACAAGTTCCCTTTGCCAAACTGATACACACCTTCCAGATAAGGTGATCAAAGTTTCCTCATACACGTCAACGGAAACTGGTGATGACGAAATGGCAAGATTCAACATCGAAAAGAATCATAAGCACCACGATCACACAAAAGTTGATGATAATTTGGACACGAACAGAAAGGCCGAAGAACACAAAAACGATACAGTTTTTAAAACGACTAAAAAAGAACACGACATACCTTCATCGAGTAGCAGATGTTCTTGCAGCAGTAGTGACGATGAGGACAAGTTTTGTGAACATTGCAAATCTGGAAACGACGATTCCCAGAAAGTTCACAATCGACGCAATGTTGATTCGCCTGAAAAAGAAAAAATTTACGGTAGAAACAAAAACAAAAATAATGAAAGTGATTGTGATGTCATTAGTGGGAGCAGTAGTAGAAGCAACAGTCGAGACAGCAACTCAACTCGAAGTAGCAGTAACAGTAGCGATGGTGGTAAAAGAAGCATTCAAAATAAAAAATATATAAATCTAAATAATGATATCAGCAAGAAAAAACGACAGACTCATTCGTCGGAATCTGATGGTAACTAACTTTGAGTTAGTATACAAAACTTTGAGTATGATATAGAATTATAATCACTAATTCGAATCTTTATTGAGTAGTTATTAAATATATAAAATTAATTAAATAAACTTATGTTAATCAAACACCATTAAATTAAGACGAAAGATCAAAAAATCACGACCAAATGGCATCAATCGACGAAATGAAGAAAAGGAAATTTTAAATATGAAATGAAACCTTTTCGTAAATTTAAAATAAAACTTTATTGTCATTTCGAATCAAGTTTTATATTTTAATAATATATTATTATATTATATTTTTATATTTTAATTTTTAAAATATTTTTTACAATACTTTTTTATTTATTATTATTCATTTCTATAATTTAACCTTTTCGATTAAGAACGTTAATCATTCTGTTTCGGATGAGATTTAAAACAAACAGCTGGAGACGTTAAAAAATATTGAATAGCATGATGTACATTTTTTGCACCAATCTCAACGTTATCCGATTCAATATTAATATTTTCGTTCCACATTATACCCATGTTTTTACTTGATACTTTAATGTTTAGAAAATAAAGGGTAAATAATGACAACCTTCATGTTTTAGCATAATGTCTGAATTACACTAATTTAAATTTTTTTTTTAATTAAAAAAAAATTTTTTCTAAAATTAATGTTGTAAATATTTTAATGTCAAATGAAATGGATTGTTAGTTTTAAAATTTACGCCTGAAAATAGCCTTCAAATTTTTATTCAATTTTTTTATAATTTACCCATAGTTTATCCCTTATATTAAATGTGCAAAAAATTATTTGCAACATTCTAATCGTGTCATGCAAACATTATTTCAATTTTTTTTACAATTTCAAGGGATGATTGATGCAATCAAGGCCGGACCTAAACTTTGACGCGAGGGCCAAAGTTTGATATGGAGGGGGCCAAAGTTTGATACGGACTGGAAAACTTGGCAACCGTTTTTATGAGTATCGCACTAATTTGTGTCAATTTTCCTATTTAAAACGTGTATTAAAAACTGTGTGTTAATTAGGGTTGCACCAGAGTTGGCTTTTTCAAATCCGACCAGAGCGGGATTTCAAGACACAAATCCGGCTCGGCTTCATTTTATGCTATAACTTGCGACTAATGGCTTCATTAGCTTGTCCTACACTAGTCGTACCTACCATAAAACTTTGTTAAATTACATCTAAATTAATTTATTATAATTTTAATTAAAATCTCTTTATAGACATGTGAAAAATATTTTATAGAAATATTTTTTGTTTTATTATGCAACAACACATATTATGGCGTTTAATAATCTTTAGTTTCAGACAGACACCATTTAAACTAGCAGTGGCGTATCTAGAAATTTCTTGTGGTGGGAGAATAATTGATATTATTGGTATAAAATCGAAAATATGTGGAGTAGAGTTATTTAATGATACAATGCATTAGCAGCAAGCAACTTAGATGTATCATAAACAGATAAAGTCATGTAATATCACGTTAAAAATCAATTGCAGTTATATGTAATTAATTCACTATTTACATCAAATTAATTTCAAGGTTTTTCATAATGGAAAACTGTAAATGATAGTATCAGATACAATGTCTCCGTGAATGTACGTAAATTAGTGTTTATTTAGTTTATTTATTTATTAATCATTTAGCTTCTCTTCTGTCATGCTTGAACGTAAACAACGGCAAAACTTTACATTAGTACCTCAATGCAAACAAAAAATCGAGACAGTGATGTAAATGGAGGGTATTGAATACTACGTAAATAGGTGTTAATTTATGTTAATAACGCTAAATAAATGAATTAGAGTGTATTTAAACGCTAAATAAACAAATTGTTCTTCATGTTTAACTTTTTTTTATTAATTATTGATTTAGATAAATATATAACATGAATTAAAATTTTTTATTTCCAAAATGTAATGTTAGGACAACTTTTCAAAATTGATTGGCTTATTTAAAACTGAATATATAATAAAATTATAAAATTTAAATTCAAATTATAACAATTTCTAAAAAATATTTTTAAAAATATAGTAACCAAAATAATTTTATCGAACAAAAATGTAATTTTTAGAATATTTGAATTTTCGTCTTCCAAAGATCTATATCGCGACTTCCGAGTCATTTCATTTGGCGCTTTATATCGAGTTTGTTTATTTTGTAGTGCGTAATTTCTTTTTCTTTTTCTATCATGAATCAGGTAGACAGGGTTAACGCGTTGACGGTCGCGGATCTGGGCATGAAGGACGAACGGGAGACAAAGGAATAGCTCAGACTGAACGGGTTGTTGTATCAAGAAATGATTTGTGACAATTGCGGCAGTGATATGACTGAAATTGCGTATCAACCGGGCATCGATGGTGTAATTTGGCGCTGTCCTCTTCATGGCTGTCAAAAAAGAACCACCATACGGAAAGATTCCTTCTTTGAAAAGAGTCACGTTCAATTAAGCTTGCTGGTTCGTTTAATTTACTATTGGGCTTGGAGCACTCCGGTAAAAACAGCATGTCGCGAGTTGCAGCTGAGCACAAAGTCTGTAATTGATTGGTACAACTTTTGCCGTGACATTTGATCTACAAATGCGTGGATCAAGTTGTACCTATAGGTGGCCCAGGAACAATTGTTGAAATTGACGAGTCAAAAATTGTTAAGGCTAAATTTCAAAGAGGGAGAAACGTCAATTCGAGAGAAGGTTGGACTTTCGGCGGGATTGAACGAGGTACCAGACATTGCTTTATGGAGCAGGTTCAGGCCCGGGATGCACAAATGGTATTACCATTAATAGCAAAATGGATTGCACCAGGAACAACCATAGTTTCCGATGAATGGCGCGCCTACAGCCAGCTTGGGAATATGGGCTCAGAGGCGTCATTTGGGGGAGGCAGGGGTTGCCCCCCCAAGAAATCAAAACTCTTAATTTTTGCTGTACAAAATTATTATGACAAAATTGCAAACACTATAAAATAATTATATAAAATTATATAATTTATTATAATTATATATACAAAATATTGTGCTTTTTGAATTTTTAAATGTCAAGCGCTATACAATTTATTTCATTTGTTCCTACAATAATTCATGTTCTGTTTTAAAAAAAACCGTTGTGTTGTCGCCATATTAACTGTCGCGTTCGCTATAATTAATGTTATTTCGAGTTAGCTGGAAGTCAATTTATATCATTTTTTTAGATAAAGAGTGAAGGTGAGTTTGAATACAAATTGTTTCAGTTTCGTTAATAAATTTGATCAAACTACTAATCAATAATAAATGATTAAATTAAAATATCAATGATATAAAAAATATTTTAAATCATCAAGTTGGTAAGTCAAATAACAATAACTATTTTTTCTGGATATTGTAATAAATTTTATAAAAAGTTTAGATTATATTGTAGAAAGATGTCAGCTGGAAATGAATTACCAAAGAAAAAAATTAAACAAGCAAGGATGAATTTCTTTGTCTTGACTGAGGCAACCACATCAAATTCAAAAAACACCACAGACGGTATTTAAATTTAATTAACAATTGTACATTATTTTTGTAGAAAGTTATTATAAATAGTATTGATATTTGTAGATTGTAAGAGATATAACTCACAGTCAAAAGTGATGTTGGTAGAGGTAGCTGAACAAACAGAAGTTGCAATAGGCACCATGAAATCACAGGAGGTATGAGTATTCCTGGTAGACATATGATAAAATTATTAATCTCATTTCATTGGCTTTGTAATAGTGTTTAATGATTTTCTTTTCAGAGTTTTGCATCATCAGATGAAAAACTAGTTTGTGATATTTCATCTTCCCCAAATGTTGATCCCATCCAACCATCAATTGACTTTCCATACAGCAATGTCTTTAGCCATTTTATATTTAACTCGACAAGGTCTACCTCTAAGAGGACATAATAAAACAGAATCATCTGCAAACAAGGGAAACCTTATGGAATTGTTAGACACATTCACAGTTTTTGCTCCAGAACTTAAAAACAAGCTTCAACGTCGTTACGGTCATTACACTTGCCCTGAATACCAAAATGATATAATCCATTGTTTGGCGCAACAGTTGCGAATCAATATAGTAAAAAAAGTCAGGTATTGGTCAATACTTGTTAATGAAACCAAAGACGTATCCGGGAAGGAAACAGCTCAGTTACGTCATAAGATATGTTGATAATGGCGTCATCAATGAAAAACCACTTGGAGCGTATTACATGCATCAGGTAGATGCTCTTCATCTAACATCGTCTATCATTGATATTACTGATGAGTTTAAGTTGAATTGGAACCACCTTGTTGCTCAATGTTACGATGGAGCTTCAGTGATGAGTGGTGCACACTCCGGTGTCCAAGCCCGAATTAAGGAAAAAGCCCCACAAGTAATTTATGTTCACTGTCACGCACATCGCCTGAATTTGGTTTTAGTACAGACTGTTAGAAGCATCAGTGAGGTTAACGCACTTTTTTCAACAGTCCAACAGCTGTACGTATTTATATCTCAAAGCAATGTTCGTCATGAATTGTTCATGCAGATGCAAAAAAACAAAACCTTCAAATTCTCGAGCTTGAACGTCTAGTTGATACTCGTTGGTCCTATTGGTACCGATCAGTTCACAAAATTAAATTACGCATAGGGGCAATAATACAAACTTTCCTATTAATTGAAAACCAGAACGATAGTTTAGCGGCTGCAGAAGCTAGAGGCTTGCTTGTAAATATTAAACGTTGGAACTTTTGTGCTATTTTGATCAGCATGGATACAGTTCTGTCAACTGTCCACTGTCTTTCACAAGAACTACAAAAAAGCAACATTGACTACGTGGCAGCAAGTGGTTTAATTCAGGCTTGCAAAACCACATTTACAAAATTTCGTTCTGATGAGTCTTGGGAAGAAATAGCTAAACAGACTGACAAATTATGTGATATGATAGGTGTAGCACCTCAGGAAGAAAAAAATTTACGTAATTCAACCGTCAGTTCAATTTATGATGCATTTCATGTTTTGTCATCAGTTGGCATCAAACCCCAGAATGTTTACGTAAATCATTTAAAGTAGATGTGTTTTTTGCAACATTGGACAAAATGTTAAATGAATTTGATAAGCGGTTTACAGAAAATATTGAAGTCTTGAGAGCTACTTCAGTTTTCAATCCATGCCTTGAAAAAACATTTCTAAATGAAAAACTTATATACATTCTAGCTGACCACTACCAAACTGCAGGAATTGACAAACAAATCTTTGAATCAGAAATTAAAACAGCCAAAGCGCTTATAGATAATCAACCACAAAAACCAAACAACATTGAATTGCTTCACGACGTGTTGGCGGTAACACGTCGTGACGCATTTGGAGAATTGTTGTCGTCAATTAATATTGTTTTAACAATTCCTGTAGCAACAGCTTCAAATGAACGAATGTTTTCTACCCTCAGCCGAGTTAAAAATTATTTAAGAAGTAGTTGTGGTGATGAAAGACTAAGCGATCTGTTAGTTCTTTCATGTCTGACTGAAGACGCAAAAAACATAAATCTGTGGGAGGTGGTGACTGAATTTGCAAAAATGAAGCCTCGTAGATACCCACTGATCCATTAATTTAAATATTTCAAAAAATTGGATGCAGCTACCTACAGTTTTTATATTTTTTAATGTACTTATAACACTTACACTCAACTATAATAACAATGTTTATAATGAGAATAACGTTTTGGTACATTTTGGATTGCATTTATATATCATTATTGTCAAAGAAATCTTAAAAGCATTGATATATATATATATATATATATATATATATATACCACTGATATATATATATATATATAAGATTAAGATTATCGCTAATGCAATTATTAATAAAGATCACGGCGTTTCTTACAGTACTCAATCTATATGATAGTTTCTCGATTCTTCGAATAATTCTCCGATCTACCAAGCTTAACTTGTTAATGCTATTAACAAAATTCCTATTTACAGAAGATGTCATTATCTACATGTATGCATATAGTACAATTTCGACTACCTAGTCTCGTCAGTGCAACATTATAATAAATTTTACATTTTTAAAGTTTTTAAAATTTGTAAAGTTTTAAAATTACTAAATCATATATCCTATATATATCCTTTTTACAAAGAATTTAAAATTAAAATTATAAAAGTGTTAATTTTAAATTCTTTGCAAAAAGGATATATATAGGATATATAATTTAGTAATTTTAAAACTTTAAAAATTTTGAAATTTTAAAAACTTATATATATATATATATATATGTTACATGCTAAGTCATAGACCACATAAGTTCGCCCCCCCAACCAAAATCTGAAATGACGCCCCTGTATGGGCTACATCCATTGGACCGTTAATCATTTCCAAAATTTTTTTAATCAGAAAAATTCATTGGCTCACACGCAAAATGTGGAATCATTGTGGGCTAGATTGAAAAGAAAGATGAAATACAGGTATGGTACCTCGATAAACCTCAGGCCCACTCACTTGGCAGAATTTGTTTGGCGTGAACGTTATGGCCAGATGCCGTTTGGAAATATTATTGTCCACATCAGAAAAAAAAATAAACATCTGTTGATAAAGATGCTGATGGCGGTGATGATGATGACAACTAAACGGCCCTTTTCAGGGCCACCCCTCTGACAACTAAACGGCTTTTTTCAAGGCCATTCTTCTGAACGATGTCTACTCGCTAAGCAGGGCTCGAAAAAATATAATTTTAAACATCGTGGAAGTTTATAATAAAATAAGATATTACTTCCTAAACGCTTTCATTCAAATATTGTCAGTTAATTTTAGTGCCTACGCGTCACGATGCATGGAAGTATACTTTAATGCCTACGTGGTGAATTGTGTTTTTAAATGCTTGTAAAAAATGCACGGAACTTAATTTCAATGTCTACTAGTTAATTTACATGCTAAAACACTTTCAAATAGCTGCATGGAAGTTTATTTTAAGGCCTACCGTACGAAAGGATGCAACAATATGCATTTACTTTTATGCCTACAATGTATATAAACTTCTCATTAAAAGCATGCTGAAATTGCGATTTTAAACCTACAAAGTTATTAAATAATTGAGACAGTTAAAAACATGTTTTAATTTTATATTTTTAAAACCTATTTTCAGTATTTCATTTCAAATCATCAATCTAATAATAATTAACAGTACTAATATACATGTTAAAATACGTGCAAATAAAGGCATGGAAGTTTATTTTAATGCCTACATGTTAAGTTTCACATGTTAAAATTCATGCAAATAAATGCTTTAAGTTTATTTTAATGACTCATGTTAAGTTTTATAAGTTAAAATTCGTGCAGATATATGCTTAAAAGTTTATTTTAATACCTCATGTTAAGTTTTATATGTTAAAATTCGTGCAAATAAATGCATGGAAGTTTATTTTAATGTCAACTGCACATAACCATGCAAGCATGTGAGTTTACTTTAATAATGCCTACAATGTAAAAACTTTATCTTTAAATTTAAAAGCATACCGAAATTACGATTCTAACGCTACAAAGTTATTAAATAATTGATGACTGTTAAAAAGATGTTATATTTTACTATATTTAAAAATTATTTTCAGTATTTCACTTTAAAATTTAAATCATAAATAATTTTATAACTCTAATAATTAAGTCTTATTAATATCAATTAACTTATAGACATATTTACGCTTTAATCTACTCTCACTTCCACTTATTATCTCGAATTTTGTTTGCATTGACTTATAGACATATTTACGCTTTAACCTACTCTCACCTCCACTTATTATCTCGAATTTTGTTTACATTGAGGCCCTAAATGTAAAGTTTTGCCTAAACAACATTTGAGTTGCACTCTAAGTGATCGCTCAACAGGCATACTTATATAGGCATATACTCTTTAAATTTTAAAACATCGAGAATGTTTACAAAGCCCTTTCTAAAAATTTAAAAAATAATAATATTAATTGCAATTTTAAGAATAAGTGGGAAAAGCTTAACAATGTTTTGTTTAATTAAAAATACTTCACATGCTAAATTAATCCAACATTTACTTTTCAAAGGAAAAATATTTCATTTTTAATATTTCCGGCAAATGCAGTTATTTATGCATGAAGCTATTGTAAAAAAAAGTTAATTTAATGTTTAAAAGTTAGAAAAACTTTTACGGATAGTGTTTTTCATAAAAAATTGAATCCATTTAAATTTAACGCAAGTCCGTCCCAAACTTGTTGAAATTGTTGTCCGGTCAAAATTTAAATTTAAAATGGCAGTCAACAAGAAGTTTAAGTTAGCAACGCGGAATTTTAGATAAAAAATAATTGTATTTTCGAGCTGTCAAAAAAAATTAATATCATAATTAAAATTAATAAATAATCGACAATATTATATATATATTATGATGATTAAACAAATTTTTAGGATCTGGTGGGAGGGATACACTCCCGCACCCACCCCACTAGATCCGCCCACCGAGTTATAACAGCGCGATACATACTTCTACTGTGAGCTATAGTTAACAAACATAACTTTGTTATATTACATCTATAACAATAACCTAATAAATTATCTTATATTCAATCAATCAGTTTATAAAGCGCTATTTCCGCAGTGTTCAAAAGCGCTCCTCAATGAATTTTGCAAATAGATGAGTTTTGAGATACGCTCTGAACTTCGTAAGTGATGGAGTAGTCAGAGAAAGAGGTAGAGAATTCCAGAGAAAAGGACCAGAAAAACAAATGCAGATTTAGCAAGTGTTTAACGCGAGTTAAGAAAAAGAGAAAACAAGAGAGTAAGGACTTTTAGCAACGCTATAAATTTGAGAAGAAAAAGACATGCTAGAATTAAAAAAAGAGCCTAAATTATGAAACTTATAAGAAAGTGTTTTAGAATAAGGTAAGATATCAATAAAAGAAATAGTAACAGAGTGCTTAGATTTATCATAACATATTAGTTCAAATTGTGTTAATGTTTGGTTGGGATATAATTAAGGTTGTTATATTAATCAGATGATCCAAGCCATTTCTTCCTCTTCTTCAAATAATTTTGCCTTAAATAATAAGTTTCTTGGTTATACTGTAGAATTTTGTCAAATGACGTTCGAATTCCGCGCCACGCGGTCTAAAACCGCATCCGCACATCTACCCAAATTCTCATCTTGGCGGAACTTTTCCTGGGTCATTGATGTGACTTCATGTGGGCAAAAAGTCTAATTCTAGACAAACATCGACGATCACAGATTCCACAGACCTACACTCCTGTGCCGCTTCCATCCTGGGCCACCTATTTTCGCCGTTTCCTTCTGTCAACCAGAGCTGTGATTCGTGCCTGTTCAAAGGCAGAAACCGCCGCCTGTGAGTTCGATCTCAATTACGTACGCTGCTGGGCTTTAGTGCAGAATGTTTTTGGAACAAGTCCACACTTCTTCAAGTTTTCCTTCAGACCGTCCTTATATCTACGAACCGGGCCACTTGCAAGACGAGCACCCGAAGCCAGCTGTCCAAAGAAGACCTGTTTTGGAATTCTTGCATCCGACATGGGGACAACGTGTCCTGACCAGCAAAACTAAGCTTGGAGCAGCATTGCCTCAATACCCATTGTACCACATCTTTCCAATACCATGACATTTGACACTATCTTCCCATAGCTCAAAGACATTTCATGTAGAATTGATCGATCTTTCGTATGTGGCGTCGATAAGTCGTCCATGTTTCACAACCGTATAGCAACCATATATATTGTTGTTGTTGTGATGTACATGTACAGTGTAGGTAAGTGTCAATATATGTGTACGTACGAGTAAACTCAAAATGTTGTATATAATCTTGATCAGTTTTTAATCCAACTTTCCTTTGAGCTCCCGAATTGATATATAAAAATCGAAAATTAAAACAGTCTTATCGAAGTCTTTTTTTTATAGGTTTAAAAGCAGTTACATTAGTTACTGGTTTGCGTATTTGTGACCCCGTATGAAATAAGTCCAATCTAGTGCTTTATTTACACGTTGCGTTGAATAATTAAAGTAATAAGAAGCATTTTTCAAAATAATATAAAATCAAGAAAAAATATTTACAAAATTTGAAATAATGTGAAACATCAAATTCAAATTTTGTTCAGAGGTTGCAATCCAAGTATCTTCATACCATTTACCAAAACCTGCTTGGCGCATCTGAATAATACTATCCTGGCCTGAGAACATTCAAAATAAAATGTACATGTAACACAAAAATGTTACATCAAATTGACTTTAAATTGAACAACCATGTATAAACGTGCAGAGCATGTGACTGAATCACTGAAAAAAAAATTGTAAAACGTGAACGATGAAGTAGAGCAGTTGGCGAATGCAAGGCAACATTTGAACAAAGCAACAATAGAAAAATGCAGCATTTAAAATGTGCTACAAATGAACAATGCAGAAGATGAATAATGAAGCTGTTAAACAATGCAACTATTAAAAAATGCATGAGAACAAAGCAGCAGATGACCAATGCAACAGCTGACCAATGTAGCATATAAACAATGTAGCGGATAAACAATACAGCAGTATAGCAACGATATATATTGTTGCAGCAGTTGAACAAATCAACATTGGTACAATGCAACATTTGTATAATGCAACATTTGTACAATGTAACAGTTGAACAATGTAACAGGTGACCAGTGCAACAATTGAACATAACGACAGTTGACCAATGTAGCGGATAAACAAGGCAGCAGTTGTACAATGTGGCAGATAAACAAAGCAGCAGTTGAACAAAGCCACAGTTGAACAATGCAGCAGATGAACAATGCCACAATTTAACAATGCAACAGTTGAACAATGCAGCAGTTGAACAATGGAACAATGTAGCAAATGAACAATGCAGTAGTTGTACAATGTGGCAGATGAACAATGCAGCAGTTGAACAATGCAACAATTAAACATAGCGACAGTTGACCAATGTAGCGGATAAACAATGCAGCAGTTGTACAATGTGGCAGATGAACAATGCAGCAGTTGTACAATGTGGCAGATGAACAAAGCAGCAGTTGAACAAAGCCACAGTTGAACAATGCAGCAGATGAACAATGGAACAATGTAGCAAATGAACAATGCAGCAGTTGTACAATGTGGCAGATGAACAATGCAGTAGTTGAACAATGCAACAATTGAACATAGCGACAGTTGACCAATGTAGTGGATAAACAATAAAGCAGTTGAAAAATGCAGCAGTTGAACAATGCAACAGTTGAACAGTGCAGCAAATGAACAATGCAACAGTTGAACAATGCAGCTGTTGAACAATTCAACACTTAAACAATGCAACAGTTGAACAATGCAGCAGTTGAACAATGCAGCAGTTGACAAATGCAACAGTTGAACAATGCAACAATTGAACATAGCGACAGTTGACCAATGTAGCGGATAAATAATGCAGCAGTTGTACAATGTGGCATGAAGTATTTGGAAAAAGCAGTAGTTAAACAATGCAACAGTTGAACAATGCAACAATTGAACAATGCAACAATTGAACCTAGCAACCATTGACCAATGTTGCGGATAAACAATGCAGCAGTTGTACAATGTGGCAGATGAACAATGCAGCAGATGAACAATGCAGCAGTTGAACAAGGCAGCAGTTGAGCATAACAACAGTTGACCAATGTAGCGGATAAACAAGGCAGCAGTTGAACAATGCAGCAGTTGAACAATGTAACAATTGAACATAGCGACAGTTGACCAATGCAACATTTGTACAATGCAGCAGTTGAGCATAACAACAGTTGACCAATGTAGCGGATAAACAATGCAGCAGTAATACAAGTTGGCAGATGAACAATGCAGCAGTTGAACAATGCAGCAGTTGAACAAATTCAACAGTTGAACAATGCAACAATTGAACAATGCAACAATTGAACAATGCAACAATTGAACATAGCAACAGTTGACCAATGTTGCGGATGAACAATGCAGCAGCTGTACAATGTGGTAGATGAACAATGCAGCAGTTGAACAATGCAGCAGTTGAACAATGCAGCAGTTAAACAGTGCAACAATTGAACAATGTAACAATTGAACAATGCAACGGTTGAACATAGCAATAGTGGACGGATGAACAATGCAGCAGTTGTACAATGTGGCAGATGAACAATGATCAACAGTTGAGCAATGCAACAGTTGAACAATGCAGCAGTTGAGCATAACAACAGTTGACCAATGTAGCGGATAAACAATGCAGCAGTTGAACAATGCAGCAGTTGAACAATGCAACAATTGAACATAGCGACAGTTGACCAATGCAACATTTGTACAATGCAGCAGTTGAACAATGCAGCAGTTGAGTATAGCAACAGTTGACCAATGTAGCGGTTAAAAAATGCAGCAGTTGAGTATAGCAACAGTTGACCAATGTAGCGGTTAAAAAATGCAGCAGTTGTACAATGTGGCAGTTGAACAATGCAACAGTTGAACAATACAACAATTGAATATAGCGACAGTTGACCAATGCAGCAGTTGACCAATCCAGCAGTTGAGCATAACAACAGTTGACCAATGTAGCGGATAAACAATGCAGCAGGTATACAAGGTGGCAGATGAACAAAACAGCAGTTGAACAAATTCAACAGTTGAACAAATGCAACAATTGAACAATGCAACAATGCAGCAGTTATACAAGGTGGCAGATGAACAAAACAGCAGTTGAACAAATTCAACAGTTGAACAAATGCAGCAGTTGTACAATGTGGTAGATGAACAATGCAGCAGTTGACCAATGTTGCGGATGAACAATGCAGCAGTTGTACAATGTGGTAGATGAACAATGCAGCAGTTGAACAATGCATCAGTTGAACAATGCAACAATTGACCAATGCAACATTTGTACAATGCAGCAGTTGAACAATGCAACAATTGAACAATGCAGCAGTTGAACAATGCAACAATTGAACATAGCGACAGTTGACCAATGCAACATTTGTACAATGCAGCAGTTGAACAATGCAGCAGTTGAACAATGCAACAATTGAACATAGCGACAGTGCAACATTTGTACAATGCAGCAGTTGAACAATACAACAATTGAATATAGCAACAGTTGACCAATGCAGCTGTTGTGCAATGCAACATTTGTACAATGCAACAGTTAAACAATGCAGCAGTTGAAAAGTGCAGCAGTTGAACAATGCAACAATTGAATATAGCGACAGTTGTACAATGCAGCAGTTGAATATAGCGACAGTTGTACAATGCAGCAGTTGAACAATGCAGCAGTTGAACAATACAACAATTGAATATAGCGACAGTTGACCAATGCAGCTGTTGTGCAATGCAACATTTGTACAATGCAACAGTTGAACAATGCAACAATTGAACATAGCAACAGTTGACCAATGTAGCGGATAAACAATGCAGCAGTTGTACAATGTGATAGATGAACAATGCAACAGCTGATTATCGCAAAATTTGACCAATGCAGCAGTTGCAAATGTAGCAGCAAACGAACAATGTAATAGAAGAACAATGCACCAGAACAGTTGAATATTTCAACAAATAAAGTTACCTGAGCAACATCTTCGGCCTGTCCTAACACTTTCAACTGAGTGTGGGCGAGGTTCACCAGACGACTGATAAATTATTGAATTTACGAAATTATTAATGCTAATACTAATAATAATGAAAATGTACCGTGTACTATTGTCAATTTTTTTATCCATTCCTTATAACTGAATCCTGAAAGAAAAACGTATCTGCTTCAAACACAGACTTGTTTAAACTGTTATTTCAATTCAAACAGTAATAGAACTAATGAATTTTTCGTGAATCACATGAATATCGCGCGATTGCCAGTAATTAACATCCCAACTCGGCCACTAAACCACCAACTCAACTCCATAATCCACAACTCCAACCACCCCTGCTCTATGAAATCCTTCAACCTTTATATATTCCTCAGTTTGGTCGTAAAATCGTGATTTACAACCATAGAAATTAAACAAAAAATAAACAATAGATTTTACAATTCAATTGTAAAATAATAAAATAATCACTGAATACAATAATAATAATAATAACAATAGTAATAATAATAATAATAATAATAATAGCAACATAAAAAAAACAATATTCTTCTTATTATTAAAATGTATTATGTATTTATCTATTAAATATGTATTGCAACATAAAAATCGACATTATTATTCAAAGTTTCTGATGCAACAATTTCTTGTGAAACCGACCCGAGATTGAAGAGATAATGAACCAGGTGGCATGCTTCAAACTGTACGTAGGACTTTGTCAGTACGTCATCGAACCTGCGGTTGTTTCATGTATTTGTGCCGAGTAGGTACGTGCCTCGTTAGTATTTGTTTAATTTAACAAATCAATGCAGCTAAAAATCTGGTAGTACGGTAACGAACATTGAATGAATGAATGAACGAACTACTGAAAAAATTGATTGTTCATGGGATGACGGATTGATTGATCGTTCCTGAGACAACTCACCTAGCCAAATGTTGGCACATCTTCAGAACGACATCTTCAGAGAGCAGTGAGGCATCGTATGAACTAGCGTCCTTACAATAATCTGCTGCTCTTTCTAACAAACTGATGTGTTGTTAGTGTTGTTGGTATTATGTTGTTGATATTTTGTTGTTGTCGATGTTGTTGTTGTTGTGGTGTAGTTAGTGTTGTTGTTGATGAAGTTGTGTAGTTAGTGTGGTGTTGTTGTTGATGTTGCGTCATTGAAGCTGTTTCGTTGATAATATTTTGAATGATTATTTTAACATAGAGAACAACATAAAACCGAAAGGAACATACCAACACGCAAAATGCACAAGGTAAAACGAAGATGTTCAAGATATAAACAAAATTTAAAAAAATGTAGGAAATAATAAAAATAAAAAATACATAAATATTTAGAAACAGGATGTTGATTTAAATTGGATCTGCTACTGGGTTAACAAACAAATTTGATTTTATTTGGTTGGTTTATCAATTAATTTGATAGCAAGCATTTGCAGCAGTGGTCTTCAACCCATTACTCACCAAGTCACCACTCCCTTTTGTAAATTTTTTCTAAACAAAAAATTCCCAGCGCCTCCCTATCAAACACGGGTACAGAAACTTGAAGCAAAAGTAAATTTAAGAAATATTTATTTAAAAGCATAGTTTATATATATATATATATATATATATATATATATATATATTTAGGAACGAGGTTTTCAGAAATGCAAATTTCATTGAAATTGTTTGCCCATTTTGCATTAATTAACTTCTTTATAAGACATTCAACGAG